AAAGCCATTGATTTTGGTAAAACCTTGTGATTTCAAGTTGTCCAAAAGTTTCTTGGAATTTTTAAGTATCCACATCTGATTTACACCACCTCTAGAATTTATTGTTGCACAGTACTCTTGAAGTTTCTCCTTCACTACTGTTCATATCTTAGTGAGGATTAAAGAAAGAGGCTTGGTTGAGAAATTACCGGAACCTGCTAATGTAGGTATCTTTGTTTGTAAGAAATGTTATGAAGTTCGGAATCCTATATATATTATGGTAATTTAAATTCATTTTGGTTCTTTGGGATATTTTTAAAACCAATTATGATTTTGAAGAATTTCTTTCTTAAAAAGTGAACTATGAGTATAAGCTAGATTACCACTTGTAGAATTAAATCCAAGTTCTAAATACAATTAACATAATGAGCCTTACAAACAAAGACAAAGTTGTTACCTGCTTTGTCAGCAAGGACCAGTATGCACTGATCATGTAATATATCTAAATGCGTTGTGATTGATTGAATCTATGTACAAATGATTTTAAATGCTAGGCCATGGTTCCTGAGCAAGGTAACCTACACTGTTTTCCTGGAACAACCAAAGTTCCCATTGTTCAGTGAAGTACCAACGTTCTTTCACCCTTATTCAGAATTACGTCGCCCCGGTGCCTCACCACAATTCCTCTAGACTGCTCCCTTTCCACTATTGCGTTAACCTTTGCTGTCTCATGTGTATTCCTTTAATAGGGGCTCTATAGCCTCGCACCTTCAGCTTATTTCTATGCGTTCACAGCGGTTGATCTGTAAGAAAAGGCCTGTCAGCTATCGGCGTCTCGTGTGAAATACTTGGCTTATTCTACCTATCACAAGGGGCGATCAACTTATTGGAAGAGTTGAAAGAGTCTACTGAGTATTTTCCAATACCCGTTCAGATTTCGAGATGGTAGGTATAGCGATATACGCTACCCATTACACTATTAAAAATCATAGCTTTGCTGTGAAGAAGATTATAAATCTCTATGTAAAAGTCTATTTCTTTGTACAATTTTGGACACCTGTTTTATCTCCGCCCTACTTCAGTGATCATCATTTCAATTTGAACATTTTTAATCATTTAGACACATTTTAATTAGAAGTACCGGTATGTAATGAAGTTTGGACATTATTAAGATTTTGACACGTTCGTGATCATCTCTCCGTTAAAGAGGTCAAAGCTTTCTGTCAAAAGCATAAATCCCCTTCAACCAAAGATGCTTTATTGCAAGTTTCATTGAGTTTGGTTGAAACTGGCTCTGTTGTTCTTGAGAAGATGTAAAAAATGTAGTGTTCAGACTACATAGGAAAAGAAGATCTTGACACTTTGTCAGAATGAATTAGATGTATGATAAAATCATGCATTAATCGACTGAGGGGCAATATGAAAACCATCTATTCTTCTGTATTCAATAATTCAGAAATGAAAAAAATTAGATAAATTACACGATCAGTACCTACTGGTCCCTGCTGACAAAGCAGGTAACTACATTGTATTTGCAAGGCTCATTCTATAAAATATATTTTAGAGGAACTTGGATTAAATTCAACTAGTTGTAAACCAACTTATACACATAGCTCCCTCTCTAAGGAGGAAATTCTTTAAAATCATGTCAGTTTAAATATTTTTAATATTCCAAAAAACCTTACGGAATTTGAATTACCATATCTAAATTGAATCCCCAAACTTCTTAAAAATCCTTACAATCAAACATATACGAGGGCTGTTCAGTAAATAATGTCCTGAACTCTTTGACATACAACACAGATATCATATGAAATTAAGCTTGACTCTCTCTCATGATCGAATCTTTAATGAATTGATTTCAGTTTATGTGACCACTTTTCATCTCTTTATTGTAAGAAGCTGGAAAACAAGGGCTATTCGAGACACTGCATTAAAAATGAATGGTTATAAATCAGTAAACATGAGTGAAATTCACGCTTCGTTTAAGTTGTTGTAAAACCTGATAAGAATCCCAAAGAAATATTCACTGAAATTTGTGAAATTTACAGCAATCAATGCATGTTTGATAAACATTTGAGCAGGTGGATTTCAATGAACAATAATGATATAATGGGCATCAAAAATGCGTACCGTCCTTGGCGACAAAGACTTAAGACAACCAATGCTCTGTTTGCCCAAAATTCAACAAATTATCTCTTATGATACCGGTATTTGATTGACTTTAAAAGATATAGCAAATTTAAAAGGCATCAATTAGGGGGTAGTTCACACTATTTTAAAGAAATATTTGACAGTAAAAAAGCTAAGCACTCAATGGTCACCTTATGTTTTGAAAAATGAGTGAAAATGACAGCGTGTCCGAATATCAAAACTATTAAATTTTTTTTAAAATCAGAAATTGTTGTTATCCACGTTTGTCTGAAATTCAAACAGATAATGAAACTTGAATATATTGCTTTATTACCCATTAAAATATTTTTACAATAAGATGCACTTGACAAAAACGGAAAGGGTCTAAAAAGAGCAAAGAATTGCAATGGAATAAAGACAGTTCTATATGCCATTTTCTTAAATATTAATGGTCTTGTTGTTCAAATTTTTATTCGGGAAGGCAGTTCAATTTCTGGAGGAGTTTAGAGAGCACATTTTTTTTTTAAAAAAAAATCGAAAGGTTTCTGGAAGGATGGAACTAGAATCAGGAATCCAGTACATTAAAATTCTTTATGACAGCGTCCAAACCCACACGTCATAAAGAGTATATGAGTTTTTGGGAAAAACAGAAAGGTAATATTTTATCACACAATAATATTCGCCAGATCTACTACCCTTTGACTTGGTTCATTTTCCAAACTTGAGAAAAAAAACCTTTCAGAAAGAAGAAACAAGTCCAGGAAATCATAGGATCTACCATAATCCAGTATACGAAGGGTCATACTCAAAAATGAGTTCTAAAAACAATTAGAAACTGGATAAAAATGTGACGGACATGTGTTTTAATTCAAAGATAATGAAGTTAAACCATAAAGACTAATTCATTGAAAAGCGTCTTTTGCTTCTTTCCGAGCACTAAGGACATTTACTGAACAGCCCTCGTACAGCGGGTTCCAATAAATGTTCCACCAAGCCTCTTTCATTACTCCTCACTAAGATATAAAAAGAAGGGATGGAGGAACTTGAAGAGTACTGTGCAACAAAATATTCAGGAAGTGGTTTAAATCAGTCGTGGATACTTAACAATTTCAAGAAACTTTTAGAATATTTGAAAACATAAAATTTTACCAAACTCAACCACATATAAACTTATATGACTTTTCAACTTCACATACAACTATTCCGCATGATAAATTGAAGTCTAGTCTTTCTGACATCATTGACAGCTGCTTTTTGCAATAAAAATGGAACTCGTAAATTAACTTACCTTGTCGTTGGTCATTTGCAAAATATCTTTGTGTTAAAACAATCTGATTGTACACACAAGTACTCTGAAGTTGATACCGTATTAAAAAGATGCTTGTGTTTCTGATTGACAATTTGTAATATTTGGAGACAAATTTTTCGAATAATCTAATGGAAATCACATAGGTACCAATTGCACCCCGTTATAAGCAGGCCTATTTTTGTATTCATATAATTCATAAATCATTATAAAAAGGTTTATTACATACTTAGTAATAAATACAGGATTTTTGCATATGCGATATGCCTGACGTCACAATAGCCGTATCAGCCCTGCAGGGCTGATACAGATCAATATCACACCCCTAGTAAATTAAACCACAAAAACAGTACTTGTGATCATACACAATTTTTTGGTGAGTTCATTTTCTCTTGATTTTAACTTTTTGAAAATAAGAATAATCTAATTTACAAATAATAGATTATTTTCAAATTATGGATCGAGTGCTTTGAAATAGAAACAAACCCCAAACCGTATGAAACAATAGACCATGTACATGTATGTAAAAAGTCCATGCATGATTATTTACTTATTTTCCTCTCAACTTAATGTGTGCTGTATTTTATTACTAAGTATGTAATTAACATAATAATAATACCTTTTTCCACTTCAAATCCCGTATCAGCCCTCGACTAATATCAGCGCTCGGGCCTTCGGCCCTCTGGCTGATATTGGTGTCTCGGGCTGATACAGGATGTGTTATGGAAAAGGGTATGTATTATTCTCTATACTAAGTATGTAATAAACATAATATAATACATACCCTTTTCCACATCACATCCTGTATCAGCCCTCGACCAATATCAGCGCTCGGGCCTTCGGCCCTATGGCTGATATTGGTGTCTCGGGCTCATACAGGATGTGATATGGAAAAGGGTATGTATTATTCTCTATGTAATAAACGGGACGTCTTTATCTTTTCAATCGTCAACTTCCCTTACTTGTGCAGCAATATACCCTTGTTACCTGAATAAAGGGTTTAAATCTCAAGGTTGATTCGATACAGAAGAGTATATTTCGACATACGAACAATTTCTAAAACGGGATAAGTTATTGACAAACAAGTTAATGAAGCAACAATATCAACAGTCTTGTTTAATTCATCATTTCGTAAGTTTTAATGGTCGAAACCATGACCTTGTCAGCAAAAACTATTTATCATTAAGTCAATTGCTGACCGAGTTTTTCATACTGATTGTTATGACATTTTTTATGCACTGAGTTGATATTTCCGTTTTTTTTTTCCGAACATGACAAGGAGCAAAAGGACGGTGTGACCGTTTCGCTGGGATGCTCATTCCTCAATGTCACCTGACCTCACCTCTGATTTTTTGGAGGTCCGTGTTTTGTTTGCTACAATCTTGTATTGTTAAATGAACTTTTGAGCTTGAATACTTTTCGTTATCTCCATATATTTTATACGAGTCACAGACATGTATGCCTGTCACTTTTTGGTAAGAAAGCTCACGTTAAACTTTGGCTCAGATGATGTACTGTGAAGAGTTATTTCGTGTTTCCCATTAACCTTGTATTTAATATGATGAAAGTACAAAATTATCAATTGATATTTGAGAAATTCATTTTCTTTCATCTGAAAATACACATGCATTCCAGTCAAACAACAATCTGACTTGTATCATGAAAACATCAGATAATCTGGATTTGGACATTACCTGTGTTGGAATCCAAACAGATGAAAAACATCTTTTTTAGTTAAACAATAATAATGACACTGTTAGCTCACACACAAACAAAATAACATTTATATAGCATATAATCATTTTCTACTTTCAATCAGTCGCATTTTGCACTCTTAAGTTTATAATGGAATCGAGTACAATAATTAACAATTGATTCAATTGATAATCAGCAGCTAACATTGATAATAAGAAATTGTAAAGTATTATGAACTAATAGTTTTCTCCAACAAGTTTGGCTAATACTAAGGCACTTATAATCCTTCAAGCAAGACACACACGGCGCGTGTTCCTTGGTGTTCATCTCGTTGCTTTGAAAGGGGAGAGAAACTCCAACTGGTTGTCGTCTGCCGTTTGGCACAAATGGACGGTTCTGAGCATTAGAGGTTGTAATGCTGATTGTAGCTAACTGAATCACATGACGATTTAAATGAAATCCCTACGACCTTTTTTCACACTTCGCCATCATCAACTTTTTGATAAACTTTTCCGTCTCTATATCTAAGGTCTGACCTCTCGGGTTGTTTGACCTCGTCGTCATCTGGCGGGTCAGAGGTCACGGCCTGAGTATAGCTAGGAGAACGTCGTATATTATTTTCTGGTTTAAGGTTCTCCGCACCTGTATTTTCAGAAGAGTCAGGAGGTTTATCATTTTCTTCACTGTCTTTCCATCCTATCGGTAAAGGTTCAGAGGTATCCACTGTATCATCACGACTTGAAGTTAATGCATGTAAATTCCTTTCACGTCTGAAAAGAAATAATATTCTTACCCTTTACTACAAACTATGCATTTCTAGTTGTAACAAATTAAGTTCCTTACTATTCCTTTTTGACTTTTCACGATATAATCTTTACTTTCTAGAATAAAACTTACCTTAACTCCTTTGTAAGTTTTTCGACTTTTAACAAGGCTATATCCAATTCATGTCTAACTTTCCAAAGCTGCGTTTCACATATAGGATTTTTGCATTTGTGTTTCTTTTTCAAATCTATGGCTTCCATAATTGTTTGCTCAAATGTTAACGATTTCCCCATACTCTGAAATAAGTTGGATGAAATTTCATTAATTAAAGTACATGTATTTGTCATGTTAAAAAGTCTACAAATATGATCAAAAGCATACAGAAAATAATAATAATTTTAAAAACAGGCATAAACTTTCCATGTCAACTTACCAAACTGACCAGGGCACAACACCCACACTTATCGTACTTTTTCAAATATTTTCGGCCGAACCGGAAGTATAGGTGCTCCATTACAAGAAGTAATCCTCCTAATACAATACCGGAAGATAACAAGATAAAAGCGCTGGTGAAGTTCAGCACGCGCAGCCTCTGACTGGATTGACCAATCCGCTGTTTGGAATAACATGGACCCGACAACCAATACTTCCGGAGTCTTTCGAGTTCACCTAAATTATGAAGTGCATTTCTTTATTTTATAATATAAAACCCGAATAAATCACTATTGTTTTGCAAAATAAAGGCAAAATTATAGTGGACTATCAAATAATTATTGTTTGCTTCCTGTAAATGCGTCACAAGCGTGATTTTACCGTCATCTTGTAATTCTAAAATCAGTTCGTCCAGTTCCTCTTTGAGCTCTGTTTGACCCTTGGGGAAGGCCACTGCGTATCCTGACATGGCATACGGCTTACCGACCAACATCAAGCGACAGTTCTTATCGATGCCTACTTGGTATTGTAAAGGAGTGAAGTCATACATAAAGGCCTGGATGTCACTGTAATAAATAGACACAGTTACCATTTTTAATCTGGTATTTAAAATAGTTGTTTAAAAAAAGATGATAGCTCTGCTACAGGTACATGTGTAAGATGTAGCAAATGTTATGTCAGTTGTAGTGGGAGAATTAAAATTACTTAAAAGTTTGAATAATTTTTCTAATTAAATGTTTATGCGTCAAAACTGGTAAAAGTTGGTATTTTATCTTCTGTGTATGCGTTTAAAGCTGAAATAATGTAACCTAATTTATATAACCTGATTTTTTTTCTAGAAACTTTCAAAATAGAAACCTTGTTCAGAGAGAATTACTGCCAAGGATATATCAATAAATACCAGCAGGAGGACATCATTATTTTTCCTTCCGTTGTCTTAGAACAAACAATTTATGTAAGTTTAAAGATCAAAGACTTCAAAGTTTGAATAGTTACGGAGGAATGGGGTATTTTGTTATGGCTGTTCCAAAACACCTGCATTTGAAACATATAAAAAAAAATGGCGATACGTCGTTAACATGCCAACAATATTAATTTCAGGGAAGCAGTGTTCATAACCAAATTAAACTAAAGCTATGCGGATGAAAAGATATAAGCTGAAGCTGCGGCTTATGCATCACAAGAAACCGCTATAACAGGGTGTTCTGTTATTTATGCATTGTCTAAATGTTTACAATAGGTTTTCAAGAATAAATCAAACTTACTGCAAGGAATTATGAAGAGGTGTGAAAGAAGGAATAAACTAAACTAATATTCTTAGTTTTTGTTTATTGCACTCTCATTACAAGACAGCCATAATGTATTTGAAGAAAAAACTGCTGAGTTTTACTTTACTTTTAGCATAGAAAATTTATTTGATACATTTATCAACATTTTTACAAGATTGCTTAATTGAATGTATTACCATGAACATCTTAATGTTTTGCCAAGGTTTCACATAGTGAAACTAGAGGCACTGTGAGCAATGAGCTCACTAAATGATACCCCCGCCTCCCATATGAATAAAATAGTAGTGTCCATGTTTTGTGGGAAACCCAAAATATGTGTCAGATCAAAAAGTAAATAGGAGGTAACAATGGCAATATGTAACAAAGATTCTGTGAAAGTTTCATCAAATTTCATTCAGTGGCATGAGAGGAGTTGCGAATAAAAAAAGGTTACTCCCAAAGCGTAACAGACAGACGGACGGACATACAAATTACTTTATACCCTCCCGCTTTTCAACTTTATTTTTCTTAATCTTATATCTTCATAAAAAAAATAATTTTTTTTTTACAAAAAAGTTTTCAAAGGCCCTTATTCAAATCGCCTAATCACTTACCTTTTTGTTAGTTTATCAATGGCTTCTTTCACAGTATGAGTATTAAACTGTTGCATGTACTTAAACATAGCAGGGTGGTTGACGCGCAGGTTTTCTTCTGTGCTACTGTTAAACACGGTCCCAAATTTGAAAGGTGGCTGATGCTTCAGGGGGGAATTCAACTGCAAATTAAGAGCTTTCAAGTTGATGCACGACAATAGTTTATGTATTTTATACTGTTTATTATATTCTTAAAACAAGAAAGTTTTGGATTGATGTTTATACTTTTACTTATTAATTTATCAATCTTTCTTAAACGTATGAAATTTCTGTACTCTTATACCGTAATGTTGGGTTCAGCAAATGACAATGAACTTGTAAAAATCCATTATAAATGTAACTTTTTTTTTCATACATTTTTTATAATTCTTTGTAACAAAGACTTGTTTCCTTCATAAAAATTTCATAGGGCAAAGTGCTTCGACAAATTAAAACTCACCCTCCAATCTGTGATGCCCTCTAGATCGTAGAAGGTGTTTTTAGTGATCATGAAGGCGGCCAGGTTAGCAGTGTAGCTGGCGAGGAATACCAGAGCGAACAGCGCCCAGACATTCCCCATAAAACGCGCCGAGACACCACGTGGGTTGTCAGCTGACACGGCGGCGCCAAAAAGCATGGCCCACATCAACCAGAAAGAGCGGAAAAGGGAAAACGAATGCTCTGGAAAAATAAATATTCATTTATTTTAAAAGTTTAACCTTTAATCTACGAGAAACAAAACTTTCAATAAACAACATAAAACTCAAAAGATTAATGATGTCATTACGATTAATTTATTGCATGAAAATTTGTGGACTTCTCCTTGAGGTTAGAGACAGGAAACAACAGCTTATATTACCATATCCGAGATTGACATAAATTTACCTGGTAGTTACCTCGCATTGGAGTCCTGCCTTGATCCAAGCCTTCGGGACTCAGCCATTCGAAGATAAAAATAGACGCCCCCATAGAGTGTACGCTTATGAAGAGAATGAGGCACCAGGCTCCGTAATCATACGGCTCTGTCATAGAAAGGATATCAAAGTCAGGTTTATATAGATTGAGACAGCTTCAGACAATAGGCAAAGAAAGAAGGACTTTGACATTTTAAGGGAAAAACGAAATCATAGAAAAATAGTATACTATATAAAAACGATATTGAAATTTGGACATATACCTTGCTACTAAGAAATTTGGCAAGCCTGTGATGCAAGTGCATACGTTTTGTTTTTGTTTTCTCTCTATAATATAATTAATGTTTTTCACTTAAAAATCCATTTCCATAAGTCGACTCCATTTTTTTCTGATAATTTTTTGGCAAAGTCTTACCTAAAATTGCATAAGCTGAGATGGTGTCATTTCGCAGATAAACGATAATTGACGTTCCCGTTTCCAAATATGGAACTGTGAATTCAACAGCTTCCGATCTGCTGGGTGTTATTTGGAGTGACGTCAGAGCCATGTCGGCCCCGCCCTCTTGGATTATCCTTATTAAGCCGTTCCACTGGCCAGTTTCCTGTAAATCGTTAGAACTGTTATTGAAGGAAACATTAATCCCAAAATGAACATATACAGATTTAATGATTCTCCTGAGTATTCCTTCGTAAAACCTTAATTGCCAATTGTGCCCCATCTTACCCGTAGAAATTAGAATTTGATCAAACTTGAATCTTCATAACCTGAGCAAGTTTCCAGTTAATTGTGACATCATGGCTTTGCTGTTCTTGAGAAGAATATTTTTCTGTGTATTCCTATGTAAGACTTTGATCGTTCACTGAGGCCCCACCTTACCAGAGGGGTCAACATTTGACAAGTTTTAATTTGCATTATACCTAAGGATACTTCCACATAAATTTCATAACATTATGCCTATTTTTTTCCAACAAGATTTTTAAAAGATAACTTGATTTTTGCACCAATGATTGTAACTTTTCTATCTTCAAATTCCATTACTTATGCATCAATATACTTTACAGTAATAACCTGCATACGGAGTTTACGTATCTCAGTTGATTCGATACGCAAGAGCATGCTCTACATATGAAAAATTTCTAAAACGAGGTAAATTATTGACAAACAAGTTGATGAAACAAGAATATCATTAGTTTCGTTTAAAGTCATAATTTCGTAAGTTCTATGGTCGATACAATGACCTTGTCAACTAATACAACTTATTATTGAGTCAAATGGTGACTGACTTTTTTCATACCAATAATTAGTCCATTATTTATACATTGAATTGACGACGGATTTTTCCGTTATTTCCCGATCATGACAAGGAGCACACGGCGGGTGAGACCTGTCGGCAGGGTATGCTCACTCCTCCATGGTACCTGATCCCATCGCCGATGTTTTGGAGGTCCGGGTTTGCTATGGCCCTGTTTTGTATTGTTTTATGGACTTTTGTTCTTTTACTGTTCGTTATCTCCATATGTTTCATAAGTGTAGAGATAAAGAATGCTCTCTTTTATTATAACATCGTCGGATACCCACAGCGTTCTCAACATACTCATTTTAGATGATATCACCAGTGGGTATCCGATGGAGCTTTTATAAATACAAGAAAGAAATTTGAATTGTCACATTCCATGAAAGTCGATCAAAATGAGCATTACATACTATGGAATCATTTTAATTTGTGGGGACCAATGTTCATAAGCAAGCAAAATAATACTTCTTCTTGAGGACGTAATTTCGTGTGTTACTGGTTTAAATACGGTACAGGCGATGATTACTTGAAGACTAAATAGATTTGCACATGTTAACTTGTTAAGACAAGAGGCACTTCAAGAGGAAAGACTTCGACAATAATATACATCAAATCACATGTAGTATTGCTAAAAAAGATTTTGAAATTTGGACATACTCAGTGCTACTATAAAAATATTTGCCAAGCTTTTAAAGCAAGTGTAAAGATTTTCAAGGTTCATGCTAAAAACAAATTTGCAAAAAAGTCTTGAAGGTTTGTTTCGATTTTCGAAGCATCAGTTTACTGTAACTGATTAATAAAATCCAGTTTGTAATTGTGTTTACTCTGCTAATTGTGCATATCAATACACAACTATTATACATTCCAAACAATAAATACAAGACAGAGACATAATTTTAGAAGTTGTTTTGATACTGTTGTAATTTGTTTTGACAAATTCTTGTTCTTGAATATGGGAGAGACTCTCTTTTCTGTGAATTGTTTATAAACTTTGAAGGTCCCAGAAATTGTTTCTGAGATTGAAAGATCTTATGTTTTGTATAATAGTGGCGGTTTTCCTCATCAAGTTAGAATGTAAACAGAACATGGTAACAGTTCCTCTCTCTCTCTTTCTTTTCTCTCTCTTTCATAAACATTTTTTCAGAAGGCAACTCCTCTTTTTCACATACACACTTTTTCAGAAGGTGAACAACTTAATGGCATGCCAAATTTGTATAACTGTACAACCAAATAAAAGAAAATAATTGGTAAGATGTAATAGCGTTGAGATAATTGAGAAGATACATTCTTCAATAATAAAATCAAAGATTTAATATTTTTCGTTAGCCAGTAATAAAACCTTTGACTTCCACTCGCTGTATGGGGTTAAGCAACATGAATGTTTTTAATCAAGAAGTCTTGCATCAAAGTGTAAAAAATTGATCATAAAAATAGTCCGATGGCGTAAAAGCAATAATTTTGTTGAATCCCAAAGCAGTTTACACTCTAACCAGGAAAATTTCCTCAATCGAAAATGCATGTTGTAAAAGAAAAATGCTTTCTTTTATTTTGCTTAATAATTTCTTATTTAAATAAAGTATGTTGTCATTTACTTGATAGGTTTTTAATTTAATGCATATACCGTTTATAAGAAACATGACAGACAAACATCCATGATCAAAACCTAAAATTTTGCTAATGATAGAAGAGCGAAACGTTGCAATCCATTTTGTATAATCAAGGAAATAATTTTTAGAAATCAAATAAAGTTTCGATATTGCATGTAAGTTATTCTTGAATCTCAATCAGAAGGAGCATAAATCGTCAAGAGAAATGTTCTAAAGAACAGAAAAAAAATTGAATGAACTACACATAATTTTGTGTGCATGGATATGTAAAAAAGAAAGAAAAAGAAAATGCCCCCTGTTGCTTTCTAAATTATAGCTGTCCATCATGGTTAAATAAATCTTAATCGCCTTTTTATTGGAATAATTGCCTCTCCTTTTATTTCCTAAATCACTCTATTGCTCTTTATATTTATTAAGATCTCGACTATATCTTCTAATAATCCTGTTAAATTTGCAATACAATATGATGCATACTTGCATATTTTGTCATTCGTAAGAATTTAAGCTTTCCTTTTAGATCTTCGGAAATCTTTTTTTTTTTCCATTTCACTTAAATATCCTGACCTCTTCCGTGCTCAGCCAGTGTTTGGGGAAGAGAGTGATTGAGCAATTAGAATCTGAATTCGATTAAGAAGCTTATCTTTTATCCTCTCTGTACCACTGGGCTCTGGGGAATACTTTTTACCCATTTAACTACTCCTTAATCGTCTTTACTTGAAAAAGTGTCCGAGTTTATTCAATTTATCAAACTTAAATGATCCCCATCACCTTAGAAACCTACATGTTGCAAGATTGATTGATATTGTCCTATCAGTTCAGGAAATGTGTTAAATAAGTTGTACATGTAGCGAAAAGAAAAGTGCTATACCTATTTACAATAAATCAGACGATAAGTTCCAACTGGTAGTCTCCCAGTTGATATGAAACGTAAGAACATGTTTTATGTAGGAACGTTGTCTAAAGTGAGACAAGCTATTGACAAACATGTGGCTGAGAAAAGGATATCAACAGTCTCATTCAAAGCCATTTCACAAATTATGTTGTCGATACACTGACCTTAAGTCAGCAAATACAATCTATCATTAAGTCGAATGCAATTTGACTGGTGTTTTTTTTTTTATTCAAGTTGTAAGGCTCATAATTTACACACTGAATTGTCAACATATTTTGACGCTTGCTCACTCTGGAGAAGGAGTAAACAGCGATGTGACCCGTGGAATGGGATGTTAACTCCTCCATGACACCTGATTCTACATCTGATGTGTTTAGAGGTCCGTGTATGCTCTGCTCCATATATGTAAAGTTCCAGTGAACTTTTGAGTGTGACCATTGTTCGTTATCTCAATGTTTTATCATAGATATATCAACAAGATACCAAATGTTTTACATCTAAATGGAGATTATACTTGCTAAAAGTAGACTAAGATTATTTTGTAATTCGGAAAAAAGTTATAAGAATAAAATTTATTCAACATAAATAAATTCAACATATAAACCGACCTGGTTCTTTACTCCACATGTGCGATCTGGGACTTCAAACAGGTCGTAGTCAAACTCTAGGCGTGTTCTGAAGATCTCCAATAGGTCTATACTCAGACCTGCGCAGCACCATTGTACGGTTCCATTAACTACTGAGGGGTCGTCGCCACTGTCAAATATTATCAAAATAAAATAATTGGATTTAAATATTCCACTGTAGAAACACTTTTTGTGTTTTATTTAATCCATTGTCAAAGTTATTGAGTCAAAGAGTCCCCTACTAAATATCACGTGAAAGGATTTTTTTTTTCAAATTCAATACTGAAGTTTTAATTACAAAGTTTAACTTTCAATCAGTTTAATTTTTGTGTTATTAATCTCGTGTCCTCATGTAACAATGGGTAATTGGTAACTAGGTGAAAAGTAGTGACCAAGCTACGATCGTTCTTCTGTTTTATATAAACAAAACACGACAAATTTGGCTTCAAATGTTCGGGTTAGCATTTAGTCCATAGGCCTTTGATGTATGTACATTCATTGATAATTTGATGATAACAAATTATTGAAAACAGGCAGTTTTTTCTGGCATTTTACAAAACTGTGTATCCGAAAAATGGACCCAAACCATGTTTATAAAGTGCCAGTATGATAAAACATCAAGTCCCAAAATTCATTTATTAACTTTGAAAAAAACTGCGTGTCATCTTTTTTTAAAGATTCCAATTTCTAAGGCTTGATATGAAAAAATTCCCTTATGTGACCTTCAGTTGACACTTAGATATATATATTGATGGCGCATCTTAAATTTACAATACATGTAGCTATTTAAATGCATAAGTCAAGATGATATTTCCCAATGAGCTTGAAATTAAAGTTACTAGAGTTTGATATATCTCTTTCATTCTTGGATATTTGACTAGAAATAGACGTTAATAACAAATAACAACAGTTCTTTAATAAAAAATATGATATACATGAATACTTTCACTTTTCAATCGTCAACTTCCATTAAACGTTCGCATCCATATACCTTTATCATCTACATACGGATTTATTTCTCTCGGATGATTCGATACGCAAATGCATGCTTTACGTATGAACAATTTCTTAAACGAGGATGTTAGTGAAAAACAAGTGGATGAAACAAAAATATCAATATTCTTGTTTAAAGTCATAATTTCGTAAATTGTATGGTCAATACAATGGCTTTGCCGGCAAATACAGTATATCATAGAGTCAAATGCTGGCTTACGTTTTTCATAGTGCTTGTTAGGCCATTATTTACACACTGAATTGTCCACGGATTTCCCTTATAACATGAGCACACTTTTTTTTTAATTAAATCATATCATTATTTTGGATAAGAAAACAAGCACAAATATATTTTTGAGATAGCTATTTGAGATGGAATGAGTGAGTAACGTCATATTTGCCGAAAGGAATTTCAGAAATTCTCTATACTTAAAACAAAGTCTAACAATAGAAATTTTTCAGGGAGTCCGCCATGCTCCAACACTGACAACAGTAATAAGAACATTGTGCTTGACATGCCACGTTTGCTACAGACAAACTTTCATCAAGTTTTTGCTTATGACACAAGACAACCAGCTGGCGGTTCCTACCGATTCCGTAAATTATAAGTTTAAAGAGTAGAACATGATACCTACTGTACAGTTCTATTGTAATGTATTCTACAGGGTACAGCGGGAGGGTTGCAAGTGCCCTTCTCGTTCTTCTTAGTGTACATTACATAAGGTTCCTCCTCCAGGGTGGCTATAGAGAAGTACCTCCGCTCGGGTCTCCCCCGCGGAGGGATTTTTCTGTCCCCCGGCCACGTGATCCCATTCAACTCCAGTTTAGGTTTGAGGGTGGGCTTATCTGCATACCAACGGCCAATCTTTCAAAAAACAATGCCTATCAATATTGGATTCTGAAACTACACAAAAAATCCTTAACAAAGATACATATCGGGTTCCACAAAATGTTCAACCAAGCCTCTTTCTTTACTCCTAACTTAGATATTACGTAGTGAAGGAGAAACTTCAAGAGCACTGTGCAACAATATATTTAAGAAGTGGTGTAAATCAGATGTGGATGCTTAAAAATTCCAAGAAACAATTTGAAATCACATTGATATCATTGACAGCTGTTTTGTCAATAAAAATGGAACTCGTAAATTTACTTACCTTGTCATTGGTTATTTGCAAAATTATTTTGTTAAAGATATTCCTAATATAAACACAACTACTCTTAAGTTGTCATAAAAAATGATTGAGTTTCTGATTGACAATATCTATGTGGTTTTTGGATACCAGATCTTCCAACAAGCTTTTAGAATTTCCATGGGTACCAATCGCACCCCGTTATTAGCAGGCCTACTTTTGTATTTACATGTATATGAAGAAGAATCTGTCCAATTTGTCTATACGATATATACTGATGAACTCGAGATAAAAGATACTACACAGTCTGGCAAATCTGTTTCATATTTGGATATTGTACTTGAAAAGACGTTAATGGTAATCTAACAACCAAGCTCTATGATAAACGTGATGACTTTAATTTTTCAATCGTCAGCTTCCCTTAATTATGCAACAATATACTTTCATCACCTGCATACGGAGTTTATATCTCTCAGTTGATTTCACACGCAAAAGTGCAGTATGTAAGAGTCTGTATCGTGTGTACTGAATGCTTTATTCTAACAATGCTGTACTATACCTCCCGCCACACGTTGCTGTACCCCTCCAGTTGTACATTGAGAATATTCAACTCCACATTCCGACTCAAGCCGTTTTCGTCATAGCTGACCAAAGTCGCTCCTCGAGTGTTCTCGTAGTTTTTCATCAGACTGCAAGTTAAAAGCAGTTGAAATATTTTAATAATATTTCATTGGGGACAGATAAGTCATTTTGAATCAAGATTAAAAAAATTATCAAAATAAGTTTAAAAAATCTGGCTAAAGAAATTAAATTTAGTAAATACCGTATTAGATCATAGTACTAGTATTTAAACAACGCACATCTATTTGAATACTTTAAATATTACAAATTTATTATTAGAATCATACTTATAAACAACGTTAATCATCTAAATTACACAGAAAAATCGTTTTTATATCAAAAGATGACAAAGAAAAATCGTACATACATGTATTAATATTGATAAACGTCTTTTAACACTTTTTACAAAAAAATCGAAATATTTATTCAAACGTGTAACCGAAGACTTTTAAAAATGGCATTTTTTCTTATTTGACAAACAAGTTGAATAGGAATTACTTTAAAAATCCGTGGAATTATGTTAACGAGGAAAAAACATCATTTCTTGTGAAAAACAGACTCACCAATCAATAGATTTTTTTTTAAAATTAAATTTATTTAATTGTGATTCGGTTGTTTTTTAAAGAACGACAAGCGGTGAATTTTATGTTTAACGGTAATCATTAAAATAAAAATTTAATTCATAATCTATTCTTAGTTTAAATGAACTCCTTTACTGAAATTTTTAAAAAGGTATAGAAAGGTCACTCGGGTCTAGAAATGGTACTGGCAGAAAAAGGTGCCACCAAAATCTTATTTAGAAGATTGGCTGCGAAAGTAAAGCGTGTGCTTACAGAAATGGAAGGAGATTAACCCACAACATGTCAAATACATTGGACAACATGTAATAATAGATGTTGACTACCTGTCACGGAAACACGCGATCTGGAGCGAAGATTGTGGTTCGTTTATCATCCAGAGACTAGCGCCAAGTACACAGAACGACTCTTGATGATATCTGATGATATCGTATTCTTCCACACATTAAATAAGGTATATCAAAACGGATTTCGATTATAATATTTGCACAAATCTTATTTGTGGGTTGATATTTATGATGTGTTGCTTCCATGTGATTCCTCTGAAGGATACAATTATAAAATTTTAGAATTCTAATAATTCCTCATACAAAAGCATTGTGTTTACCTATACAGCTCATGCCCAGCGCCCCAGGATGAAGCAGGGACGGACGTATTGCATGTAAAATCCGGCTGAAGCACACGCCCCCTCAGTTTCTCCATTGCTCCCACCCACGTGGCCACGCCCACTTCTACAGCTTTGTTGTAGACAGAATCTGCATAGTTACTGTCTGTTGTTACGTAACTCACACCTGCAATACATATGCACCCATTTAACAAGTTTCATATTGTTATGTTTGCAATGTTTTTTTTTTATTTTTGTTTCTCAATAGAAATGAACGAGTCATATGCAAAACTCTGTCATGTTGATTTGTTGTGACAGCTACAGAGAAATAAGAATATGAAACCCGGTTGGTTTCAGTATGGGGAAACATATATCTACAGTCTCGACATTATTTCTGGTCATATTTTGTGTATTTAAAGTATTGAACTGGAATGAGAATCATTAAACTAATTAAAAGTGAATAAAAAAGTATTTCATTTAAAGGTTCCTCATAGTATGACCAGGAACCATATATTCATGCATATATATGCACATGTAAAACTGACGTTATTTAAAAATTACATTTATGCGATTTTTGCAACCAAAGGTGAAGAATAAAAAAGTAAAAAGCAAATGATAATAACCACTGTTTTATTTGAAAATCTCCCTAAAAAAAATTGATTTAAAACTGAAAAAAGATCTAATCCCATTGACTTGAATTTCGAGACATACACTTTGCGAAAAAAAAAAATAAAACAGTCATTTAAGAAAAATAATGCACTTTTAAAGATAGCAGTAATGATTATTTTAAGCATAGCTTTAAAAAACTTTAGGAAATTGTTTCCATGATCCTCTTCTAGTCCCCTTATTCTTCAGAATACGAGTATCTACCTATTGTTCCCAGTGGGTAAGATCTGGAAGCTCTCTTTGTGGGTATTCCGATACTCTGTGACGTCACAATCCACAGATATTTGTAAGTTATCAAACCAGCTTCTGCAGCGGCGTCCAACAGTGTTTTTGCTTGACTTGAACTATAAAATTTGATTTAAATGTATACAAGCAAGTTAAGTTCGAGTAATTAAAAGAAAACAAGATGTGTTTATGAAAAACTTATGTCCCCGTTTGACAGTTTTTTTCTCAAATACAGGTCAAACACCAGAGTCAAGAGTTTTGGCACCCCCCAAATAAGTCTTGTCACGAGGATCATGTATGCCAAATGTTGAAGTTCTTATACCAATCATTCAGAAATTATGATCAAGATTAAAATTTTTCAAAAAGCAAGTCAGACTCGCCATAATATATAGGTTATGATATCAAAAATGTTGGTGTGCAAGAAGGCATCTTGTTACAATGGATATGCATGAAGAATTTGAAAGCTCTCGTATCAATAGTTGAAAAACTAGGGCTTTCCAAGGTTTAGATTTTTCAAAAGTAATTCAAAATTCATTGTCAAAGTAAAAAGGTCAAAACGTCGAATTGAAATGAAAGGACTTGTCTTAAGAAATACAAATAAAGCTCTAGCAAAAACGGTATAAATGTAATGACCAGAGTAGGTCAAACTGCAAGATCAAAATCAAAATAACAAAAATGATGGTATCGAAGAAAAAAATTTGGTCATTTGAAAACTTGTGATATAACATGCATTAAATATAGCACCAACACTTCAATTACAACCAAAGTTAAAGTATTTTTCAAAGGTAGACCACATTTCAAGATCGAAGTCAAAAGGTTAAAAAAAATGTTGATACCCAAAAGGACGGGTCTTCTCACGAGTAATAAGCAAGTGAAATATGAAAACCCCAGCACTAAACCATTCAAAAGTTTTGGCTAATGTGGTCAAATATGTTGATACCAAAAGAAAGATTCTTCTCCGAGGAAATACATTCTGACATATAAATACCCCAGCTTCAAGTAATCAAAAGTTACACCGGTAGGCAAGGTTGAAGTTTTCGTAGAATGACAGGCAAACGGATAGACTAAACTCTCTATACAACCGAATCGTCAACTACAGGGACATTAAAAATATTGGAGAATAATAAACATTCAAAGAAGATCGGTTTCTGTTCATTAATGTGAAATTGCACGTGTCTGCATGGATGTTGTTATATTGGGTTTGACTTGTTAAGCATGTTGGTAACCTTTAATTGCCTACCGATGTGTATATTGTTTACATTTGTAAATGAATGTTTGGTAAAAATGTATCTAATTATCATATCTTTTTTTTACAACTAAGTTTTTGGTAAGTTAAGATCATTTGAAATAATTTTGAAGACTCTAAAATTCGGCATTGATTTAATAAAATAAATCCAAAAGATGAGAGAGTGTTCGTTACGCATGTTGCTTGCAGATGCGAATTTTTCTTATCTGCAAAAAAGTTAAGTGAAGCCATATATTTTTCACCATCAAGGCATCGTTTAAATAACATAAAAATTACTAAAAAGCAATTATTTATCACCTGCTGCTGGTGAAGAAAGGGGTGCTGCTCAATCAATAAGAACTACAAAAAGGTATCAGATAACAGTGTTAACACTAATAAAAAACAAATGGAGGAAATTCTGGTGAAGTAAAAACGTGCTCACTGGAAAATATGCACCTTCAGCTGTGTTTATTTTGAACTTTGTGTGAGGGCTTTTATATATACAGATTAATTCAACGAACAAAAAATTAGGAATTTTCAAGAAAAACGGCTTGCACCTTGTTACCAAAAGCTATCTAAGTTTAAGTTTTTGCGTACATAAATGAAATGCATCACTCACATAACCGTTTATATTCTACATCGACATTTCTGTTTTTTAAATACATTTCGGAAATTTTTATGGGACGATTTCTATTTTTAAAATACATTTTGGAAATTTTTACAGGACAAAAACTTAGTTTTAAACATGCTTTTTAACTTAAACTATAGCTAGTACATATATCTGATACATCTGTTTCATGTTTGGATATTTCTCAAGATAAAGGTGTTAATGGTAATCTGGAAACATTTATGAACGTGTTTGATATTTGGATATTTCAATAAAAAAAACGGTTCATTGTCATCTAAAAAAAAGTTTTATGAACATAATGACATAAACTTTTCTACCGCTGGTTTCCCTTAATTAGGTAATTTGCTAAATTATAACTTCAGTTGGTTCGATACACATGGGCAAGCTCTACGCATGAGCAATATCTAAAATGTGACAAGCTATTGACAAACATGTTGATGAAACAAGGATATCTACAGTCCCATAAGAAGACGACGATTTCAAATCTATTGTACGTATAATAACTTCGTCAGCAAATAAAAATTTATCATCAAGTGTACAGATATACAAATCAATCATCGAATGCTGGATAACGTATGTTTTTCGTACAAATTTTAGGGTCAGTGTTTACACATTGTATTTTCTACGGATTTATCAGTATGTCTGATCATGACAAGGAGCACGCATCAAATTTGACCGGTCAACAAAGGATGCTTACTCCTTAATTTGTACCTGATCCCACCTCTTTTTTTTTAGAGGTCCATTCTTGCTCTGCTCCCAATCTGTGTCGTTTAAATGTAAATTTGAGCTTGATTAATGTTCGTTATCTTCTCTTTCCTTTTTCTTTCGGGAAAATGGATTGCTTTCAGAGGAAACAGACAAAAGAGTGAGTTATTTTCCTTGTGGAGGTACCAAAATAGTTATGTAGATATACTGATATTGATCTAAGTAGCAGTATATCCCACGTGGTTTTATTATGTTACGTCAGCGTCAGCTATAATTAAATCATTCACAGAATAAAACATCTTACTAAAACTGACTATCACAAGCACTGTGTAGCTAACGCATTGTTTAATGATCATTTGTGGCTTACATGTTTTCATGATATCTGAATCACAAGATTAAAATTCAAAACATGTACCATACTTCTATCCTATGATATATAATGTTTATATTTCCTTATTTGAATATATTTAAATTTTTTCATGATAAATAAAATATGACTTAAAATAATACCGGAGGGCAACAGATATGAAAATTAAATTTGAACTGGCAAAATTACGAGTGTAAACATAGTGCTTTAAGAGTAAATGACCGGGAAATGCAGTAAAAGGTAGTATAAAACAAAATTAATCGGTAGAAGGTATTCAAATCCAATGTCCCATAAAATAGGGCCCATCTCGTTACGCAGTTAATACAACATTGGTTGTTTGTGATAAAAAAAATCTTTTTTTCTCTCTCTCTTTTCCCAGTTGAAAAGAGTTAGTTTCCAAAGTAAATATTCAAACGTCTGAAATAATGTGTAGAGGGAATGAAAAATATTTCTGAACAAAAACAAATATCGCTGTTCAAATAGTTCTTAAATGAACAGAGGAGAAAGCGAAAAGTAACGAAACTTAAAAGTCCTTTGCTAGTAAACTAAATATGAAACAGATGTGTCTGATGTCAACTATATAGTATATTTAATTTCAAGTTGAAGTAGGATAAATCGAGTCGACACATTAATGGAAGAATTTATTGTTTATTTATAATACGTACTCGATATATCTTAATGTCTAGTTCAAATTGTGCTTCAAATGAAAACAAAATCAAGACTGCAAATTACGGTGCGCAATTGGTATCCAATACTACTGGAATTCCAACACATTACTGGAAGTCCTAATCTCTACAAACTACATAGATTGTGTTTGAAAGACGATCTCCAAAAGTTAGAAATTCTGAATCAGAAACCCAAGCATCTTTTTTATATCTACTTCTGAGAACTTGTGTGTGTACAATTAGAACAAAACAATTCTGCAAGGTAAGTAAGTTATCGAGTTTCATTGTTTACTATAAAAAAAAAAACAATAGCTAATTCTTAAGCACCAGGGGCTCGTAACATAAAGCTTGCTAAGTTTTTGACTTAAGTAGGGTCGTAAGTATGGTTTAAGCATAATCTTAGGACCTGACTAAGTACTACTTAAGTATGTCTTAAACCGTAACATAAAACGAACTTAGCGAGGTCTTAGCTAAGTCAAACTTATGTTAAAAATATTTTATATGAGTCAACCTATGGTTTTTGATTTTATATAGATATATTGCTAAAAGTGATTCAGGTAGGGTTTTAATTAATTACATATTAAAGTTGACGTCCTTATCTATCGATTTAAGATATGTTAGATTAGATTTCGTATTAAAATTATAATTATGTTATAAATTATTCAGAATGTTTGAAAACAAATACCGCACGGTCACAAAGTGGCGATTTGTGGTTCATTGTAAATGTTCCCGACAATTGTTTTTGAGATGTTTTCAGTTTATGTAACTCTTTTGTTTTGACAAATGCTGTGTTACCCTGTTATTATCGCAGACAAGAAAAGATAATCGACCGCCTTTCCACTTGAAATTGAAACTCTAAAAACTTCAATACATTTTGAATCCCCGCTATGTATCCGGCCATGCGTGTCAGAAGTAAAAACTGCAGAAGGTTTATGATATACTCATTTGCAAGTTAATCAAGGATACAAAAAATCGGAATATTTGTTCGTATTTCTCCACTTATCAGCAATTTCTCTCTCTCTCTCTCTCTCTCTCTCTCTCTCTCTCTCTCTCTCTCTCTCTCTGCAGAAATGTAGTGAGCCCTGTCTACATTTATTCTACTTTACAGATACTTTTTACAATATATTACTCTTACTGTCATCATCCTCTTTCTTTTCTGTTTATAACAAATTACTTCAACTCATATTTTCAATTTTCAAAGTGAACATACAGATCCATGGTTTATTACTGTGTTCAATTTATTTCTATAACCGAGGTCCTACTTATTTTGTATCCCTAAAATTAATTTTTTGTATTTACATGTATTTGTGTTGAGTGATAAATAAAACGAGAAAATAAAATTCTTAAATCAGCGTCTAGATATACTTATTTTCTTTAATGCATAAAATGAATAAAGGAATGTTTTAACATCGAAAGTCAACATTATATAATTCTAAATATATGAACAAGAAAGTTAAGATATACTTAAGTCACCTCTACCGGCCGCCTAAGTTTTGCTAAGATTGCCAAATCTTTGTATAAAGTTTTAGCTGAAAAAGCACGGTCTTACTTAAGTAGCCTTTATGTTTGAATTTTAAATTATCTTATTTGAAAAAGCAGATAAATTTTGTGATTTTAAATGTTCTAAAAGTTCCTTGGAGTTTGAAGTATCCACATTTGATTAACATTACATATTGTTCTTCAATCCTTTACTGTTGTTACAGTGTAAAATTTTAGCAAGGAATAAAGAGAGAGGTTTTGTAAAACATTTACTGGAATCTGCTTTGTATCTTTGTAAGAATATTTATGTAGTTTAGGAATTTAGTATACGGTTGGTATATGTAGTTCAAATTTAATTTGATTGTTGGAAATATTACATATTATATATATGCATATATTTGACAAATGATTTTTAAAAAAAAATTCCTCCTTAGAAAGGGGCTATAGGTATCAGCTGGATTACCACTTGCAGAACTAAATACAAACTCCTTTAAAATACAATTAAACACTAAGCCTTACAAAGACAATGTTGTAACCTGCTTTGTCAGTTTGGACCAGTACATAATAGTTATGTTATTTATTAAGTTTCTTTTTTTTTTACACTTCTGAATCATTGTACACAGAATGAAAATATGTGTAACTTGTTTTGATAAAAATCATAAAGAATTTGAACGGAGGAGAACAAGTGCAAACAATTAATCATTGGAGACAAAGATATTTATCGAATCAAGAAAGAGATATTGTAACTAATTGTTTTCATCATGTCTAATTTGTAGTGCACTTTGATGTTTATTTTGAATTTTCCAGTGGACAAGTGAAATTATTTTTTTTAAAAATGTGCTGTTTGTCTTAAAATTTGGTGCACACTTATTTCCTATAAACAATAATTGTATGAAACATATGGGGATAACGAACAGTACCCAAGATCAAAAGTCCATAAAAAAATACAAAACAGGAGCGGAGCAAACACGGACCTCCAAAACATCAGAGTTGGGATCTGGTGCCATGGAGGAGTGAACATCTCCTGTACACCTATCACACCCGCCATGTGCCCTTTGTCATGATTGGGAAATAACGGGAAAATCCGTCGTCAATTCAGTGTATAAATAATGGACTAACAATTATAAAACATATAGAACATCTATTTGTATTGGTATTTGACTATGTGTGTGAAATTTTATGGCGATTTTATACAATATAAAGTGATACAATTTTTTAAAGGAAATTCGAGCTCCAGGGTAGAAAGCATTTTCTAGCCCTCTTTCTGTTGCATTACTTTTTCAAAGTAGAAAAAAATTCTTCTGCACAAAAAATTGTTTTTTGTCCATATAAAAGGTCTTCAAAATAGCTTCAAGGGTTTTGCAAAAAATTGTATCATGTTTAAATACTTATATATATTCTGCAACCAAAAGAGTAAATGTATCCTTTTTACACAATCTGTTTTGCAATATTGATGTAGGTACTGAATATGCGTATGGGTAAATAATTGCATATTTATACAGTAATAATAAAGTCATAATACATAACATGCAGTACTGTATAAACGATTTTCTTCTGCTGAGAGGATGAGATGCTTTGCAAAATAAATATTATTCTACTTCTAATGTAATGAGAAGATTCCACCATTTCCATGAATCCATCATCATACATGTACTTACTGTAATAAGAAAATTCTGCTGTCTTTGGGGTTTTGTGTTCTGAAGAAGTGGACAGCCTTCTTAGTCATGACGTCATAGGAATCTTTATCGTCGTATTCAAATATGATCTCTTTCATTATTTTGAACCTGAATTGAAAAGTTTGACTGATGTAGATTTTTGACATATTTTTTAATGGTGATTTCATAACTTTGAACCTGGATTGAAACGTATGACTGATATAATTTTTTTGAACAATTGTACTTTTTTAAAAGAATGTTGAACAACACAACTAAATATTAACTTAAGATACACATTTACTATAATTATATAATGCGTAATTTTACCTAAAAGATTTTTTTTTATATCTACACATATACTATAACGGTCTCCTTTAAAAGTTATGAATTTGAAATAATATGGCAGTCTCGTTTTCAAAACCTGAACTGGCCGCTGAGGATGTTGACGTCATTGTTCTTTTTTACGAGCGTCCTTAGAGCGGCAGTGAAGTCAAAATTGTTGTCCTCTGTAGTGGATACCACCGTGAAATGTGTCCAGTTGAAGGTCATCATGAACTTGAGCATGGCCTGGGCCTGATGGTAAAGGGTTGGGGCCAATTGCAGGACCATCCTGTTTTGGGGGTTCTACAAAGGGACGATCTTTATTAATCTAAGAACTTAAGGTTCGTGAATTGTCTATTTCTTTCAAATGGGATTAAAAATTACAAGATCAGATTCAAGTTAAAGAATGTTTTGTTTGGTGCTTTTTATTTCATTTTATTTTTAATTTAATCATTTTATTCATTTGAATAAATTAATCGAATCTTTTATGACATGTGCTGTTATGAAGTGATTTACGTGAAAGCAAATTTAGACTGAGAATCAAGTATTTTTGTGACAAGTAGTATATACTTATTTACAAGTACATGTAGTTAAAAAACACTGTCTTTGAAATTTATTTTAAAAGATGGAAAAATACTCTGTTTGAATTTCTTAAACAGTCATATGACTTCCTATTAGACTTTGCTTTATTTGCATATAATCCTTAAAATTGTATTAAGATCAGAATTTGTTAGCCCTAAATGTGTGAAATTTGGATGATAAATATGATATAAATGAAATCACTTAACCAAATCTCCCTGTAATTCCAGCTTGACGATCAACTGGATAGAAGTGTCTCTGCTCGGATTAATGATCCTTGACGCAACATACTAACGAGCTCATGATAAATGTTCTTATCTTACAAATACTTTACGTATTAAAGAACTTCAGTAGAGCGCTTACTGCAGAAATGCAAAACATGTTACAGCAATATACATTATGTTTGTAATGGATCATATTGAAGAACAGCGGCTATTGGTTTAATGAAACATATACGTACATCCGTAATCTGTGTATGCAGATTCATGTAGCATTTTATTTTCGTTGACGTTTTTTAACTAAATAATTTTAAGGCTTATTGACTGTACGTATACATTTGTAAATGCATTGGTACATTAGTACATACATTGAAAGATCATAGAGACTAAACGTTGAAATATTTGATGAAATTATAATTTTGATTTTTTTAAAAAGTTCCTATATTAGAATATATGAAGTTGGTAGGAAATGACATTCTTATTCAGAAAAAAACATAATGATTAAAATTATTTCTTACGAATGATTTTTAAATATATATAAATAAAAGACAATGACTTAATTCTTACAAACAACAAAGATAAAGACAAAATATTATATCCAGTAAGTATATCTAAATGAGAAAATACACTTGATAAATATTAGGATAGTTACAACATACACCAAAGAAAACAGCTAAATCGACTCAAGTTCTGAAGAAAATAGTCAAACAATAATCATACAAATTCTTTATAAAAAGAGAAAGTATCAGAACATTCAGGACTTAATTGATAACTGACAATATGACAATTTGACACGACAAATGTTATTGTGCTATTATACTAACATACTGAGGTATTAAATGTCCATTTTGTCATGTTAGTTGTAAATTAAAGAATTATAAAACGGTATATCTATTTCTCTAAGAGCTTTATTGCTCGATTATTTCAATAAATGAAGTCTAAAATACGTGACAAATTATAAATAACTACACATTATTATTGATAAAAAGCCTGACATTAATACATCTGGACAGAATCCCAACCTTCCTATCTGAGGCCGCCGAAACAAATCAGAGAAGTCTGCGAGAGAAAAGGTATTAACATCTGACATTCTGTCCATTCCGGGTTTTGGCTCTCACAAACACAAAGATAAAGACCAATCTGTCAAAAATGTGGAAAGTCGCACCTAGAAGTAGCCCTACTGATATCTATAAAATGGTGAATGTTATCTTTATGTTCCCTCAAACTCCAACCATAAATGCTCATCCTGTGATGACCTAGGAATATTGTGTGCTACACGTATAATGAAAGGGTGAAAATGCCACTACCCTTTTTAAATCATTTTCATAGCAACTCCCATTATATATCGTGAGCAGATTAAAGGGACATTAAAATTTCAAAGAAGATATATAGTGGTTTTCCCTTTGTTGGATTTTTTGTTCAATATCTATTTTTTGTTTGAAAAATTCTCGTTAACTTTCAAAGAAATAAAGCTGATAATCATGGCTATGATTTAGATAATGCTAAAAAATGTGCATGGCGTTGCACTCAGGCATATATCGTAAGCTTTATGGCTTGTTTTCACCTACAAATGAATATAGTTGAAAGGTTAAGGATGTGCATGCACATAAGAAAATTGAAGTTTTGTTGCTGGGAACACTAACGATTTCATTCTGTGATTGAGACCCTGCCACAGAAGATAATGAGAGACAAACAGTGAACTAATTATACATACAGAATGAACCACGGATAGCAAATTATGATGTACGACTTTTTACTATTCAACTTAACACTAAAAACATGGGATGTAGCATGACTTCATATCCTCTATATATAATTGAGTCTGTGAAAGTTCATAAGTTTAATGCTGCAATGGTTGTACAAGGTTGTAAATGGCATGCCTAGTTTATCAGCAAGTTACCAAAGAAAATTTCTCTTAGGTTTTAGTATGTACTTCAGTTTTTCAAACTCCGATTCTCATGAAACGAACTAGTATTCAAGCTCAAAAGTCCATAAAACAATGCAAAATAGGAGCTGAGCTTTTGATAGAGACAAGGTTTTGTCGTCATTTTGCCTTTAGTTTTCAAGAGCCGCAAAATATGCTTTGTCTCTTTAATAATATTAGTTGCTTGGGGATTGTAGTGAGGACTTAACTACGGAAAATCGTTAAACATCTTTGAAATGGAATAGGAAACTTTTGACAGTCACTAAGAGATCTGAAAGGTTCTACATAAAAATTACCCTTGACAACGATTGTAAAATATCAAAACTCTCTTTAGGCGAGAACTGTTCTCCGCAGGTGCAATTGACATGCCTCCCGTAATAAGATAATAAGAATGCTCAATTGTAATATCAGTATATACCACGGGCATCAGTGTGGCCTGATAAAAGCGATATTTCCTATTAAATCACTCGCTCGTTATTCATAATAACCATATTCCCTGCTGACCAGTTTAAAGGTTTATCCTCTCTAAAACAACAGTAATACAGCCAATTCATTTACCCCCCGAAGCAGAGATTCATTCACCACCACACCTTGACATCGCCTTGACATCGCCACAAAGATCCGTCTTTTTAAAAAGAAATCAGTAGAATATAACTCAAAATAAAGACCAGAAATTCTAATGTTTGATGACTTACTTGTCGGGAAAAAGACGATGTCCTTTTTTTACTGATTTCGCCATAGAATCTCCTATTAATTTAGATCCAGTCAATCAATGAACGGTTTAGATGGATTTTCATTCATATATAAACTTGATAATTGATATGAATAATAATATATAATACTATTTATATACGTATAGCAAATTAACACTCATTGTTTCACAATTAATTTGTTTCTTTCTCCGCGAAGCAAAATTTGTCAGGCACACAATTGAATTGATTATATATTATGCAAACCTTTTAATTGGAATGTTAATAAATCATGTGTTGTTTGAGCCAAAGAACACTATTTGATTAAAAAGATATATCGGTATATATCGGTATAAATTTAAATTAGGATATTTTTTTCGTAAAAACGACCGAGTACTCGATCCAAAAAGGCAATCGAGTAATCGGTTACTAAAAGCTTATCTTTAACAAATTCAATGCTAATACATGTATACAGACCTACATTGCAATTGTAATCATTAAAACGAAATTATACCAAAATCAGAAAGACCATGCATCTTAAAATTTAATTTGAAATGGTATCATCATTGATGTTTAATTGATGACAAAATACAGGTAAAAAAGGAAAAAAATACACACAAGGGAAAACTCGGTTCTTTACAACCGAGTGATATCCTCTAAAAGACATCTCTATGTTCAGTAAAACTATAACTTATAGATTTTTAATCCCTATATGGAACTCTTGCAAATTTGTTCCATTCTCTTCACACAAAACTTAAGACTATGGTGACAGCTTAATGTATAGGATTTAGTGCTCTAGAGAACTTTCAGTTACGCGTATGAACAAAACTAACTCGGTGAAGGTTGAATTTCTGGTATAAAAATTCTCTTGTGTTATATGTAATTTACCATAAGCTTGCTGGAGTTTGTCATAACGATGCTCAGTTATTATCAGCGTGTTTGGTATCATAAAACATGCTTTTGGAATACCAGTGTAGTAAGAAAATGAACATTTTATTAAATATCCTTCTTTTTAAGATACATAAATGAGATTTTGGGTGTGAAATTGAACATTCAAAAACAATTTATTCTTTCTCGAGGGATATTTTTTCACAAGAACGAAAATTATCACAAGAAATATATTGATAGTTCGAGTAATGGGAAAAAAGTCTTTTTGGTCAAACTGGGTCCAATATATCAAATAATAACAGAAATATCATTAACAAGAGGCACTCTGATTGGAAGAGGGTATATACAAGAATATTGACTTAATCAATACGACCTCTCCCCCCAAAAAGTATGACATAAAAACAAAAATGTACTTTCGGAGAAGACTTTTCTTTTAAATGAATTTGATTTTTCAGATGCAGAAAGATTAATTTCTGTTTTTTTTAACAGAATCATCTATTTTGCAAGTTTTTACATTCAATTCGAGTTTTCGGTCTGAGTGAAAGTTCTTCTGTATTACAGGTTCCACTTTTTAGTTGAAGACTGAAATTTATACTTATTGCAATACATCAATAAAATAACGACACAGTGTAGTTTTATAATGTATAATATAACAAGTCTTAGATTTTAGTTAACTAGGGAGTAACTACAATTTGGCTGTATACTTCCTAAATCAAGTGAATAACATTAAATCCATATATATCTCATCAGTTATTCTGAACTGAGTGTGAATGACAGAAAAACGTATGGACATTGAAAATCCGGATCACAGATCAATGGAACCATTTAAACCATTTATCGGAATGACATCGCCATGCCTCTGACATCGTCATGTAATCGTTCACAGAGACAAGTCGGTCCTGTATTGAACAAAGTAAATCAAATTTAGTATGCATTAAACGGTTCCCAGTCTCCCTATGTTTATCAAAGGGATTTGTTTCAAAAATTTTAAAAGGAAGGTTTCCTGAAAAAATACAATGATATTGATGATATGTCACATTTACAGGAAGCATCCTTATTTGGTTTTATTCTTATTTTTTGCATCTTATCTTAAGGATACTAGAAGATACAGAAAGAGAATATTATTCAAAGACAGATAAGAAGACTAATTATATAGAATACATAAAGGATCGCCGATTTTTACTAGATTACCAACCATATTTTTTCTTTTAAATTCGTTTTTGCTTTTTAAGATCACATTTAAAAAAATGAAGTAAAAAATATCAACGACAGAATCGGCGATCTCTTTTTTTCAAATAGCAATAGCAAGAAGGAAAGAAAACCAAGAATACGATGTATACAAATACATAAATTCATGCAACTTTCGCTGTACATTACCGATCCATCACCGCTGCCCTGTAGTTTAGTTGTCTGCATATTTGAAAATCATTTACCATTAAATTAGACATCTATCATAAAAACGGAGATGCTCAGCTTTAAAACAAAGTGGAACATTTCAAGCTCTGTAAAAACTAAATCAAATCATCTATGTAAGCATAATTCTTGATAGGCAAACAAAGCATGCAAATTTGGCTGGTGTGAAAATAAATGAAACTCTATGTCGCGTTGTTGTTAGTGATGAATATGAATTTAATGTTAACTAGATTTTCATTAAGTGGAATTAAGAGAGTATGTTACCTCTAGCGCCCCCACATAATCCGGATCAAAGGAAAGGACCGGAAGTCCAAGACTAGTTGCTAAACCTAGAATGTAATCCTTAGATTTTTCCGCTTTCCTGGTGACACTTAAGTGAATTAAAGCATTCACATTCTTTTTAAACACTGTTTCACAGAAAATGTCCAGAATCTCATTTGGATTACTATTCTCCAGTTTTATAATTCTTGGAAATGGAGAATACATTCTTCTGATGGATCTCATAATGTTGAATAAATTCCTAGTATTAATGGCGTTGACAACTTTATCAACATCCGGCAGAATAATGTCAAGTTCTGCTCTTGGAGCCCTTTGACAATTCACAAACAAAATCAGAAACTCTAAAATTATAACAAAAAATATTCCACTTTTCAAAGCCACACACTTCGATGAAACTTTTTCCATGGTTTATATTTTCACCAGTATTACTTCCCAAAACAACAAAAATGTACCACAATATCTTTTCGTAAAACTATAGATACCCGTCAGTATTTTTTCAACACTGTGATGCCATCAAGAGAGCATTTGCCCATCTCCTGCTCCTGGTAGCTATTAACGGTAGCTGATGATAGAGTGTACATCTCTTCATTAGACCCTGGCTGGGGATCACCTCTAGTCCTGGTAGATACGGCTCATCTGCAATTACATCAGAATCCACAAAAACAATACATAGAGCGTCACTGTGCTATGATGCTTCACTCGGTATAACCAACACTTCATCCTCAGTTATATAAACCTGGCTTTCCAAGAAACTCATCCCTCGTGCCTTAAGATTGCGTCTTCCCTGGAAGAAAAATATCCAATACGGATTCAATTTTAGAAACCGTCTATTTTCAAATTCAATTATTTTCATGTCAATATTAGGTGTTAGCAAATAAATTCTCTCTCTGGGGTGTTATTTATTAAGGCTTATAACGCATTTTCTTTGACTCCTGTTTTTTGTGATGCTAATTTTATCTTAAATTTGTTTTCTTTTTAATAATCTCTCTTATTTTGCATATTTTATTTGTTTCGCGAAACATGCTTTTCCTACTATTTTACTCAATTTTACAATTTTACAAATCAGTCTTGAGGGCGTTTCTTTGAAATAAAATACAATACTACCATATAATATACGGTTTCTATTATCAGCCCTCATCGGCTATAGTAATCAAACATGTACGACCGACCATCAGACTATAATACCATTGTTTACACGTGTTTGCATGCTGCTAGAATGCTAAAAAGTCAGATGTGCCAAATTAGACACGTGTTGTCTATTATTATGATCTGCATAAATATTCATCCCCAGGAACCACTTTTCCTTCGCTTCTTCAAAGGATCGAAAAACATAGTTCGATTTTTTTTTTTCCAGATGAAAGAGATTGATTCCATGTTTAAACTTTCAGTCTTCATGTTAAAATAGTATGAACAAAAATTTTAAATTATTTTCAGCTATAATTAAAAAATCATTTTATTTTTTACAAATAGTACGGAAAGATTGTCCACTATATATGACGAAGTCTGGAGTAAAATAAAATTTTAACTTTTAAATATTTACACATTTTCAATGATTTCAATAAACAACGGTCTCGGTACGAGATAAACAAAATTTCTCCAAATGAATCGTCTTATGTAATGTTGTTTACGCAAACCCATCTGCAAATTGAATTGTGAAATAAATCACTTATTTTTTTCTTTCACTTTGCAGATTTATGGAATTCAAGAGTTTTTCAACTGAAATCAATTTTCTTTTCAAAGAATTTATTCTACAGAATTTTCTTTTGTTTTCAAACACGATAACAACTTATCAAAAAAAAAACCTTTACAAAACTGAGAATTTTGCTTTTATTTCAAGCGTTTCTTATTCTTATAATTTCTGACGAGTAATAATTAATCAACTTGCACTACGTGCACCAATCAATTACAAACAACAAATACAGAGAAGATCAAAGTTAATGATGAGTTGGATTGTCTTCAATTTAAAAAGTATAGGAACTTTAAGAAGACTGATAATTCAGCGTAAGATTTTTTTTTATTTCTTATAAAACGTCATGAATACTATAGGTTTTCACCCATGGGTTTGGGCATCTTACGTAATAAAAAAGGACATTCTTAACGTTACAATTAAGCTCGAGAATTATAGAATTAGAAAATCAACAGGTTTTTTTCTAGATTTAAAACATAAATGACGAAAAAACATATTGTGACTTCAGCAATGCCATTTGTCCATCATTAATTTAGAACTGTAGTGAAATATATTCATTAAGTTTTGAAGTGCCTCGGCTACAGCAATAAACATCACAGCATCATGGTAAAAACATGCCTTAATAATACCTAGATCAAAGGATTTTTGGAAAGTTTTTTTTCCTTAAAAAATATTGTGGAAAAAAGAATTGTTAATTTGAGCAAACAATAAAAACACTATAGAAGTTTGAAGTTTTTAATACAAGACATCAGAGAGAACATTCCATAAATTTAATGAGTAAAGGTGTGGAAAGATGATCTAAATCTGTTGAAAAATACTATGTTTAGTTCAAATTGTTCAGAAAAAAAGTATGACAAGCCTATATATTTGGAAAAAAGTTATCTCTTAAAATTAGAGAGATAATTCTTATTTTGGAGTGATATCGTTTGAAAACGGGTATACATTGTATCTATCAACCTAAAGAATATCTCAAAAAAAGATATCTCTTTCACCTGGAGAGAAATCTTTTTCACTTGAAGAGATAGTTCTTTCACATAGAGAGATATCTCTTAAAAAATAAAGAGACTATCTTTCACCCAGAGAGATATCTTTCATTTTTAAAAATGTCTTTATCACTCAGATGGATAAAGCTGTTATTCTACAAGATATCTTTTTAGTTAAACTAACTCCCTAAAGCAAAAGAGATATCTCTTTCCTTTTAAGAAATATCTTTTTTGCCTAAAGAGATTCATGTTTAAAGAGATGCTTGTATCTCTTTAAAAAAAAAAATCCTTTTAGATTATAAAGATATCTATTTTAGACAAAGTGATATCTTTCTAATCTACAGATATCTCTTTTTTTAAAAGAAAAAAATCTGAGGGTTTTTTTTATTTTTCGAAAAAATAGTAAGAGGGCTTGCCACAGAAAGGATATAATTGTCTTCATTGACTAAGTAAAGGAAGTAAAAAAGCTTTAGTTGATTTGTTCAGTGCTTCATCGAAATACCAAAAACGTTCTCAATACCTCAGTTGCAGTTGCAATACATTCAATGCAGTAAAAATGAGAAAATTGGTTGGAAAAGAATAAATACGTCATTCCAGTCTTGATATAAGCAACTTAGACCTGTTGATTGATCACGTTGTAAATTCAAATATACAGAAACATATCAATGTTCCTGCCTGTATGCAAAAAAAGATACAACAGAAGGCTGCCTAATTTAATACGCACCAGACACAAAAATCACCATCCTAGAACAACTTGAAACCTTTTTACCAAGAATTCTCGTTGATTGCTTTTTTTAAAAAAAATTCAAATAAGATTTCGCAAGTTGTGTTTTAAATTAATTCCTTTTACTCCATTGCAAGATTAGAACACATTATTTTTACACCGTATTTCCTACAAATCAACAAGTTCTGCGTCTGTGGTATAATGGTACCCCCGTCAGCTGTAATTTGTTCCACTTGTGTGCACGCTGAGATACTTGTAGTTCTTGACTTCTGCTCAAATATGCTTTTCGATCTTACAGGTAATTAGCTCGATCTCTTCATGATAAAAGAATCCCAATTTTATAACCAATGGAGCTTTCCATATTTCATTATAAAGAGCTATTTTGATTCTTTAATGTTGTTACGTATATACACGACCCATGGATTTGAGAGCATTTTCTTGGATTTATTTACTTATCGTTTAATAACTTAAAACGCCTTTTCGTATTTGTGTTACTTTGTTTAATTAGCAAAAAATCATAACGTAGATAACTGTAATCAAAAGATATGTGGTTTCCAAACTCTTTTATTTCAGTTTTTGGGAGTGCATTATGTAATTAAAAGAAGAAAGTAAATGAAAATTAGATTAACAAATCATATCATGCAATATTTATTTGTGTTGGGAAATTGGACGGAAGAAATTTAAACTTCATCGTACATTGTAATGAGAAAGATATCTTCCGTTTAATGAATAACGAATTGAATTCTTATTACAATGTAGTTATTATTTTAAAAAGATATGAAATATTGAATTTATAAAGTTACAGCTTATATATAAATGATTTTAATAAATGAGAGAGAGAGAGAGAGAAACATCGTTTTACATAATGATGTTAATATTATAATTTTTGCTGAATGCCGAGGATGAATATGAAACAATTTACATTATTTTTATTTTGAATTTTCTTCTGTAAAGAAAATATAGTATAACAAAAAATACTATAGTTAACATAGTTTACTATAGTTAACTATAGTACCAAAGCAAAAACTTTGGAACTTTAATTTACTGTAGTGAAAAGTTTATAACTTTGATTTACTATAGTGAAAACTTTGGAACTTTGATTTACTATAGTTAACCATAGTAAACTTTAGTTAACTATAGTTAAGGAATAAACAGACAGAAAAAAATAAGCTGGGACATAAAAAATCTGGATCTTCGCATTCATATGATTGAAAACCCCGACCATCATTACATGTATATCATTTGAACAGATTATCTTGACCATCAAACCATGCCCTTTAATTAAAGTTCTCGTTGATGTATCTTTCCTTGAAACAATGTTGCCACCATATACTATATACCTTTAGGTCATAAGCAATTTTATTCTTAAGATTGAACCTGTTAAAATAAGGGATTCGGAAGAGACATACAGGCAAACATGCGAAAAACTAATGAAGACGTAATTAAATACACCTGACCAAGTACCGAGAAGATAACGCACTTACGAGTTAAGTATGCATTCATAAAACATCAAGGTAATTATTGTAAGTAAGTATCCTTTACTTTTATACAATGAATTGTCTATGGAACTTATCGTTATTTCACGATCATGACAAGATCGGTCATCATGGGGTGTGCAGTACTCCATGGCATTTCATCCCACCTCTGATGTTTTAGAGGACCATGTTAGCTCTGGTCCTGTTTGTATTGTTTACCAGAGCTTAAGCTGTTCCTTATCTCCATATTTTAAAAATAAGATTTAATTGTATTTCTCTTACATTTGAAGAAATATTACGTAATTCAAAAGTTTCATCTCAGTTGCATTAATTTTTTAATGTGTGGGTTTTGAGATTTGACAGAGAAAGCAGCTGTTATACGTGTGCTAACATTAAATCGTGCTCTTTGTTCAGACCGCTTTCGTGTAAAGTCATTCTACACCTAATAATGTCACCAAAGTGAAAATCTGAATATTTCTCAAATTTAACATTTTAATCAGCATGATTAGGAAAACAAATCTAAAACCCGAAGAATATCGGTTTCTTGTTTCAAAGACTTTGAAAATGTAAAGAGGTAATAATGAATGTTTTTTTCGTTAGAGAAACGCTATACAAATGAATAGTATGAGTTAATATTACTGATGATATTAATCTGAATCAGAAAGTGGGATTTAATTCTTCACAATTTCATGATGGAATGACACGATAACCACATACTCTGAAGGGACAAGAATGAACAAGAGCTTTAACATCTTTTAAACGAGATACGGAAAGCGAATTTCGTTGGTCACTTATATCATACATCAAAGGTATCGTAATTATGTAATTCTGGGAAAACTGTCTTCAAAAGATCAGACATTAAGGCCTTGATTGACTTCCTGAAGCAGCCTCAAATTGCCGAAGAATAAGCTTGTC